ATTTTATATCTATAGAATATAATAGTATGTTTTCATTAACGTTGTATATCTGTACATGGATGTGTACATTCTGAATAATTTTCGCTAATCCTAACATGGTCAATACACAAATTATGTTATATTATCATGCATAACTATTTGCATTTTTTTTTTTTTTTAAGAAAGTGCTTTATTCGGTGAGTAAAATCAATTTTTTATATTTATACATATTTTAAAGAGCCCGCAGCTAAAACATTATCAAACGAGTTTCCTGTGGACTCGTAGCAATATCGAACGGTATTTTGTCACATCCGTGGTTGTAATACTTCGCGACGTTGTTATTATACCACGGCGGCGGTAACCGGGTTTTCCTTTGCACGTCCCCGTAAATCGTTTCGTGATAAATCATATTATTATTATTATTATTATTATTATTACTACGCGCGCGCGTTTTGAAGCACGTGAAATCAACGACACGTCGATCATACCAAACTGGTCCATGTGGGTCGAAAACGACGTCGTTATGTCACCGAGGTCTGGAATTTTCACTGACTGCTGGTAGTAATTGTGACCGCTGTACGTACACTGCACGAGCTTTCTTTTCTCGGACAACTGTGTGTGTAATAATAACGATAATATAGGTATATACACGTGCTCGTACCGCTCCAGTATCTTTTCTTGCTCGTTCGCCGTATCTCGATTTGAATCGCAATTAGGTGCCGGGCTGAACACGCAATGTATAATATTATAGAGTTGGACGAGAAAACCGGCCTGGATGGTTGAAAAATGAGAGTGTCATGGTTATGCGATGGCGACGGGATGCGACCCAAAGTAGATCGTTTTGAGTGAGACGGAACGGAGTATTCACCTAAACATTTGTTCCGGACCGATTGAAAAATCATAGTAAAGTGAGAAACATCGCACGTTGGAAAAAAAATCCCTCCGAGTATCCCGAAAAAAGTTATTGGCCTATCCAAAAATATATCGGTTCAGTTGAGGGAAAGTACTGCTTGTACCACCAGTTGATCGTTTGAATCATATTTTTTAGTGGTTTATGCCGAAAGAGTTTATACTCGAGTGGTAATGTAATACTTTAGTTAGCGTTTTAGGACGGGACTAAGTAAACTTCGAGTGAACCAATCAAGCAAACGTAAATCGTTTACGATAAATCACATCGCTATTATTGCAGATATACCTGTTAAACAACCATCGTTCGTGTGCTGTAAACGTTCTAAAAAATATAATTATCCTAATGCGGTTATTCTAGTTTTTAATTAATTACCGAGAATTGCCCGTTATAAATCTGTTGCGTCTATTTTGTCGGAATTCGCAGTTGTCTACCAGGAGCGTTCCCCGACGGTGCGTCTATCTAATAGCTATTTCGATTTACACCCGTACAAAAATACGGCTACCGTTCGGGTGGTTTCGGATAGCAGAAACATGGCAGAGGAATCGGTTCGCAAGGAATTCGTCGACTGCGCACTGGTCGAGCGAGTGTAACGTTGCCTGTGCGTCGACGGAATTTTAAGTTAGTACACGTTAATGCTTACGAGACAGAAGCGTGTTTTGCTTTATATCTTTCTACTCCTTTTTTCGCCAAAGGAATTTATCAGGGAACACCGGCCGTGCGAATCAAATAACGATATAGTTGTAGGTACATGCCACGCCGATTTAAATTATACATTCGGGTCGAGTGTCTACTAGCCGCTACGGTAGACGCGTACGCCGAAGTAACCGAACAAACGTAAAAATTATAACCCTGGTAGAACGAGTCTAATCTAATTCGGAAAAAATAAAAATAAATCGTTATTTTAAACATCCGTCGCGATCTTATCCGTTTTTGAAAACGTGTTCTTTAACTGTGTGCGCGCGTGATGTTATTTTCCCGTTCAAACCGAGCAATCGAGAAACGCCAGCTGTAAAACGTTTAAAGCGAAAAACATGCATCACACGTCCTGCAACGGTCTGATTATCGTCCCGGTGACTTTTTAATCTCGATTCGCTATCGATGAATTTGTCGGCACACGAGTAGGAATAGTTAACTATACACGTACCCGAATTTATAAATAACGTATAAAATAATGATAATACACAATTTATTTGGCCAACTGTAGACCACTACACTGATGTGCCTTCCGTGAACGGTGGAAGAAGGAAGGGAGAAGAAAAAAAAATTGCCCCGAGGATCTATATAATAATATGCATAGGTATATATATATATTTTATACGCAGCTCGTCTCGTACGATAATTGACTAGTTCGTATGTATACACAGGTATAATGTATGACATTGTGTGGTACGAATCATAATACTTTTCCTTTCATTTTTTCCTCGCTCCTTATTCGCTGTTCTCCGAGCCACTCGGCCGGTCGTTTATAGTTTTTCAAACCACAAGTGATTAAAAAACGATTACTCTGCTCGATTTATTTATCGATGAGACAAAAGAGCAAGTTACTACCGCAGTAACTAACCGCATTTCGCTGTAGTCGATCCTGATTTAATATTCCGATGCACGTCGACAAAATGTGTTTTTCTCCAATTCGTCACTATGGCCTTTTGTAACTTAACGCAGTCCCGTGTGGCTGCCGTGTGAAATCTAAATAACAATCGTTATATTTAAATAAAGGCACATTTTATTTTTATAAAAAATAAAACAATATTTCGTCTTCACCGGCAACTCTCACACACACGCACTCACGCACGCACAGGTATGGGACTTTAAGTAACTACAATTGCCGTACATCGGACTTGAACTTTATTTTGATTCGATTTTATCAAACTGAGTGAAATAAATTTACATTTATCATTTGCAAACGAAACATTTTGTTGAGTTTCTTTGTAATCACATGGGTTTTTTTTTATAAACTATTAACAATCGTAAGCGCGTTGTACAACCAGATTTTCACTCTCACTGCAAAATGCTATTTAATTATTCGACAGTCGCGTAGTGTTCTGAGCTAAATGTTAGGATTTCGTATAAAATAATATTCTGAGTTTTATATTTCATCTGAATACAGTTCATTTCATAACATAAACTTTTGAAATAAATATTGTGCACACATATGTATACCTATACATCGCTGACCAGACCTGCCAGTCTAAACAAACTTCAAGAATCAGATATGTAACGATCAAGCGATGAGATGATCAAGGGGTAAAGCAATTTACATAAATAATGCACTGATGTATAGAGTATTTGATTTGAATACAACCAAATAAACTTTCACACGACGAGTATGCCAAAATAGTAATCCGTGTTGTACATACGATTATGTTTGATTGGTACGCCCGCACAAAAATAATATATTTTTTATATTACGTAATTTGGTTAGGTACATTATGTTTTAATATTACAACCGAATTTATTTTCTATAAGTTTCAAATATATATCAAAATATAAAACACGTGAAAGTCTATTAAATGTATATAGGTACATACAGACATTCAATTATTGGTACTCGATTTATGATCCAACATTACTTTCATTGGATCAATATACTTATGATTATTTTGGATATTTTTCACCTGTTCGGGTTTTTTTAATTTAAGCGACAAACTTTGTTCGTTAGTAGAATCAATTACGAATATCACTCAGAATATTTTTAATCTTGCCTTATTCTACGATCTTATACCCAACAATGTCACATTTTCAAAATATGTTATAAATATTTACTAAAAAATATTTATATCGCCACTATGTGTTTTATATTAATTTATATATTATACTGTCACAACAACCCATGACAGCTAAGAAAATGTGTTTATAATATTTCTTTAACGTATTGTTGAAATATTAATTTTAAATATCGTGAAAGCATTTAAAACATTATACCACAGTGTTTGTTTAAAATATTTTAACAATATTCCTATAAATATTGTAAAAAGTAAAAATTTAGAAATTATGGAAATCTTTGCAGGTTTAAAAAATATCTGTGAAATATACTTGTATTTAATAATTATAATAATTATAATAATAATAAGTTTTAACAGTCCTTTAAGTAATGTATTATGATAATAGTCTTTTGTTTTTTTTTAAATTCTGTTTGGTGCCTATCCTAACCACTTTGCTACAACAGTTGATATTTTCTGGTATAGAGTTGCACTGATTTTTTTTCTTTCTTATAGAGCATCTAAAAAAAAATACCAATACAAATTAAAAAATTAAATCACAATTAATATAACCTAAATTACTAAAATAATTAAATCATAATCCTTTAAACTATCATGTATAAATATCATATTTTACATTTAGAATAATCAAATTCATCTAGTTTTATTTTTTAATTTTAGAATATATTTTCGCCCACTTAAATTAATAATATTAGTATGGGCATATTTTAACGTCAAAAACACACAACTGGAATCGTATACGTTTTTTATCACACTGACTGAACATATTTTTAATAAGAACGGTCACTCAGTGCATTTCGCCGCTCCTATCTGGAGCCAAAATGTGCAATAATAAAACTGTTAGAAATCAAAATTGTTAACAATTTTAATATCAGGTACCTATTCGCTGTAAGCCACTTAGCCACTCTTTATAAAATAATAACTAATATGTAAATATATTAAATTATGGTTATAGATGCTCAATAGACCATTTATTTTTCATAAAACATTAAAAACATATTTCCAAAATAACTTCAAATAAACACCATTACAACGTTTCCAAACAAACGTAGTTCAAATTATGTTGTTTATGGAAAATATGAATATTATCTATAATGCATCATAAATATACTTCCATAATAACTTTAAATGAATATAATCACAATGTTTCCAAAACAAAGTTGTTCTAATGTTATACTGAAAAATATTTCCATAAGAAATGAAATTGAAACATTGACACAATATTTTTTTTTAGAAAATATTGCTAGGAATATAAAAAAACAATATTTATGTAATGCTAATATATTCTAAACGCTATCTATCTATAACGTTATTATAATAATAATTATAATCACAGACTGCTAGTTTTTTGCCCGCGCCAACTAATAAACCTTTCGTTTTATTCTTCTCAGGACGACTGGCAAGTGTGGCAGGACACCATATCTTGGCTGGGAAACCCTATGGGACCGCAGGCTTCGCCGGTGTACATTTGTGGTTCGGGTACGGTTCCTGAATTCATCCCTTTGACAGACAGCCTACGACCGGTGCCCAGGTCCATCCCACTGGAGGATGATCTCCAACCGGTGCCCAGGTCGATTCCACTGGAAGACGATCTCCGGTCAGTGCCCGGGTCAATCCCACTAGAGGATGACCTCCGGCCGGTTCCCGGATCAATTCCTTTAATCGACGGCCACCGACGATGCGACGCAATGGCAATCCTCGATAACGGAAATCACCATGTCAATCACGATACTCAACACCATAACCAGCAGCAACCCCACGACCCAGTATGCTACGGGACGGATGAATTCATCGACCTAGACATGTTGATCAACTATGTAGCCGATCAACATAGCGGCACCGGCGATCCTGTGTCACCAGATGTCATGACGTACACAGCGGCCGAAAACTGCAAGTCCTTTAACTACAACAGGTAAGTCGCAAATTATATAAGCCACCATAAGGATCGGTGATTATCGAGCCTTAATTTGGCAAAAAACATGACCTTTTTTAGTTGATTTGACTTTTAACAACGTTAATTTGTAAGTCTATAGGTAACAATAAACAATTTACGTTTAACTTATAAAGATTCATTAATTACTATTTAGTTTGAATATAAAATTACGATACTTTACCAAATATTTTCAACTATTAAAATAATATAAATAATAAAAAACAATTTGTTATGTATATTGTACTCGTATAATAATCGTTAGAGTTAGGATGTTGATGATCTATAAAACACACAAAAATTCTCTAAAAAAAAATGCAAAATTTCCTAAAACCTTAAAAAAAATTATCTTAAAAATAATCTAAAAAACTAATTAAGTAAGTGAAAAAATGTATTTATAAATAATAATTTTTATTAGAGATATGAGTGTGATAATAGGATTAATAGTAATTTAAATTATGAATTATAAATTTTAATATTAATAAACAACATTTTAAATTTACATTTTAAGCATTATATAAAATTATTAATTATTGAATTTGTTTCCTAACTTGGGTTTAACAATTGCTCTAAAATGTAAAATTTAAGAAAAATTCCCCACATTGTACAAAAAATACAAAAAATGTGAAAAATGACTTAAAAATGTTGATAAATAACGTTAAAAAACAAAAAAAGTGCATTTATAGCTAAAAATCCCTATAAATGCAAAATAAAATTAGAATATTTTGCATCAAGGGAGTGTGAAATAAATTTTTAGCTAGGATAGCATTGTATAGAATCAAAGGGAAAAAAATGCAAAAGTCATCAACATCCTAACTCTAATAATTATATAATGTATAAACAAATGTACTACTATTCCTATTTAAAACGTAATATTAAATATATTTTCAATTAATATTTTTTTTGTGTAAAAATTAACTTTATTTGTTCAGACTAACACAATATTGTTTTATGTGATTTAAAGTCTTGACGAATATCTAATTTTCAAGTGTGACTTTAACCTAATTTTTTGTGTAGAACATTTAATTAAATCACTGAAATATTTTATACTATTTATGTACCATATCTACGAGTACTTTAAAAATTTAAATAAATTTAAATTTAATAACCTTTAGTTTTTCATACTCAGTCGCGATTTTATTAGCTTTGTAAATATCTGATGATGAATTTTTAATTCGAAACCAGTCATGCATTACAAATATTATATTTATAATACACCTGGCTAAAGATGTATTTATTTCTATGTATAAATTATTTATATATTGATTAAAAAATCGTATACATTATACTTAATAATTTATATTTAACTCTGCTAAAGAATGTGTAAATTATCTTATCACTTTTTTACTAAATTTGCCTTTCAATCGTAAACAATCAAGTGATCAATAATACTATATGACTACCTAAAAAAGCTTTTACTGTCAATTATACTATAAATATATATTTACCTACACTACGACCGTCGATTTCCGAGTAAAACTCTAATGCATGCATTTTTATTAGGTACTCGGTTAGGTTATAAATTGCAAAACTATTTCTAAGATGTTTAAATTAATGACAACAATTTTATTAAATGTGTTTATTTATTAATTTTATATGAGTTAAAAAAAAAAAAAAAACATTAATTAAGATACAAAATATTATTTTAGATGTCTTTTATTTTTAATATGAAAAATAAACATGAAAGTAATCCAGTAAATTGTGTACCTATATTTTCATGAGACTTTTATTCTATTGAAATATATTTATGCAATTAAAAAAATATTAAAAACTTATCCTTATGGATCATGAATAATATAAATCAAAATAATATTGGTAATAACAGTTTTTACTAACGACATTTACCTATAAAACGCTTGTACATTATAACCAATTGCATAACTATAAAACGTTTATGGATGCATCAAATTATCAGCTTTAGCTATAATATGTTGTAGTGAATTTATTTGGCGGCACACCTACTTTTTTTCGTATTTAGACCAGTTTGTACTTATGCATATGTACACTTTCATTCCATGCATTAAAAAACTGTAATTTTTAATACTACTGCCTGCTCTCTATTATTTTTAACATGGTTGCTATTGATCAAAAAAACCAAAGTTGATGAATGCTTATCACACATTAATTGGACCAACTCGCATGCACACTTCACAGGCAAGCAGCATAAACACATTTTATATTAATTAAATAACAATAAAATGAAATCAGCGATTTCCAAAAACCTATTTCCTTAATTATAAAAAATTTGATTTCATAACTCCAATGTTAAGTTACATAAATACATATTATGGTCCCGATAAAATATATAATTTAATTTTACGATACTGAGTATGAAATATTTAAAATGCATATTTGAATGTCAGGTTCAATACAGTAAAAAAAAACAAAAAAAATAAATATATATATATATATATAATTAAGACTTCAATTTATTGGATTTTAAGTTATCTGAAATTCTAACGCGCAATAATAGTTCGTAATATATAATATATAAGGGATACATTATATCCCTTTCATAGATCTCATCATGGCGCTATAATCGTTGAACGAGTACACAATATACTTTCAAGCATGTACTCGTAATGTGTATAATATTAGAAATATGTTATGAATACTTTTATCGTATAACGTTCGAATAATACAGGTTTCTGGAAACTATTTGTATAAAGTCTTTAATGAAAAAAAAAATCATAACAGTATATTACAATGGTATTTTATATGATAAGATTTTTTTCGTTATATGTGAATGTTATTTTTTTTTCTAAAGAAAATCTGCGTATTTCGCCTATTAATTCAGGTCTCGAGGTTTGGTGTATTTACATATTGTTACATTCACTTTTTTAAATCCAAAATTAAATTCTGAACTGCACGGGTATAAATCAGTTTCAAGTCGACAAGATTAAACGAAGAGGTATACGTGGAAACGTTGATGTTGAAATATTTTCGCATACATATAATATTATTTTTATATTTAGACATTTTGAAAATTAATAGTGCACATTTTTTATTTTTTTATTTTATTTTTACCTTCGTGTAATTAGATACGGATAATTTTATCATGCTTAAGAAAAAATAAAACAACTATTCCAGTTTCATATGCTGTTTCATACTGCCGCTCATACTTGACTTTGAATTTTAAAATCTATAACTCTCATGTCTAGAATTTACATCGTCTACGAAACCAAAACATAATCATACTCGCTTGAATTTAATAAATCATTTATAGGTGAACTGTGTGTTTACGTATTTCCATAAAACCAACGTAAAGTTGAAAATGGCAACCAATCACGGCAAAAGTGGAGGATTTAAAATTATAATATTTAGCGTGATTTATTTCGTCGTAATTCACATTTTTTACTTTAAGTTATTTTTCTTATAAAATTCCATACATACCTATCGTAATACGTTTCCAAAAATAAACTTATAAAATCAACTGTATAATAAAGTTTTGTTAAAAAATGTGTTGTTTTCGTCGGAGATATTGAAATTGTGAACAATACCGTTCACTGTATAAAAAAAGGTGCTGCCGCAACAATTGTGCATCACACCAATAACAGGTCATTGAAAAAAACTGAAAATCTCGATTCTCTCGATCGTCTTAAAAATAATTTACAGAACTACAAACAACGCAATCGTTCGGGAAAATAACTAATCCTCGTGGAGATTAATGATGTATCGTAGAAACAGAATCGGCTTAGATAATACGATATTTATTGCAATACACTTCGTACGGTCTCGTGCCGGTCCATTTATTCTAATCGAGCACCACTATATATTATTTCATGCGTGGTAGGTATATAGGTACCGATATTACACTGCTTTCACAATACTTCCCCACCTCGGTGAACATTGTTAACATACTTGGCGATACACGTAATATTCTGGTCGTTCCAATACGCGGTAAGTGGTTTGCTATTATTATTTTCCTTTGAACTGTTAAAATGCAAATCTATTCGAACCACGCGCGTATAATGATGTATATGTACACTTGCCACGGGAGTGAACATTGAACTTGAACGAACAAATGCAGACCGTTGGCAAGCCTAGTCGCATACCTAAATATAATATCCGCTCTGTTCTGTATAATAATGTATCAGGTTGCAAGGCCGCAGTCAATGTTCAGACTCTCTATTCCCCCCCCCCCATGGTTTTCTTAAAATAAAATTTAATGATTTTCACTGCATATTAAATTTGAAATCATAAAATTTGCTAGTCAAAAAATATATTTATACACTAACCCCCATCCCTAAAAAAAAAAATCATCTTTTGCTGGCTGTGGTCTTGTCAGGTTGTAATTGATACACGCGTCGAGAACATTTTGTCGCTCGCCGTTTATTTAATTTTGTTAAAATTTATTTCCAAAATTAAGTAATTCGTTTTGACATTGACAACTACTGCAATAACAACTACAACTGCTTGTTCCGAAATGTAGTTCACTAGCGATTAATACAACAAAATGATTTTTAACGAAATAGTTGACCTTAAAATTAATATTATCTCGAACTTTTCACAGACGAAAAAACGTTAAGAAGTATTCAATATTTTAAATACAAAACGACCAATTGGGCCATATTTAATGTAATGCAATAGCTATAAAGCAATCGGTGTAGTAAATTCGAATACACGCACCTCCTAAATGAGAGCATAAAATGTTTTAAGATTCGATAAAACTATAACAGAATCTGATAAAGATGAGAAAAAACCACACGCAAGAAATGTAAAAAGAGAAAGGAGTTCAGTGGAATTTATGATTTTGAGAATTAATTTGAATTGATTTCTATCATAAGAAAATAATTCCTATTTTCACATGATGGATAATTAAAATCCAATTGTAAACGTTAGTCCTTATCCTATTCTAAAGTGTTTTTATTTTGTTTTACATAGGTGTTTTTTGCTGTAATCATTTGGTTTGTGAAATATCTGTGCAAGTATTTAATTAATTATTAATTAAACAGGGCACAGAAAAAAAAAATTTAAATAAC